TCCAGACAAGCTTCACTGCATCCTGATCCATCCAATGTACCAGAAACCTTATCCTTATTTTGTGCACTTGCGGTCTTTCAGATTTTCAACTATTTTCTAAATAGTAGGCCAAAGACTGGTGAACATCTAAAATGCAATAATTTCAATCCAAATGTGTCAGCAAGATCTTCTGAAAGAGTAAGCTTTGCTGCTGATGCATTGCCAATGGCAAAGATGATGATCTTGTGATTTTCACCCACTTTCTGCACCCTGGCCAGTGGCCAGTGTGCAACTTTTTTGCAAGTGAAATTTTTTAATACTTAAATTTTTTTTTTTGCTACAGACCTTAGCAGAAAGACTTTCTTAAATATCTCACTTTTCACACTGTTTTCAGGGATTTTTCAGTCATTTCAGATGTATGATTTCTTAACTTGCAGTCTTGCATTTATAATGCATTATGCTACATAGAAAGGATCATTATTCATGGTATTGGTAAAAGTATACATCGTATACATAGAAGTATAATTCAATTGCAAGTTAACTTTACACAAGGACGAAACGCACTAGATGTTCAATCAATGAATGCAGCTGACTCTCTCCGACTCTCTCGTAAAGATTCCGCGTAGAGGAGCGCAGCCGTGGCGAATAAATGATCCATGATCATGATATATTACGGAGAATTTAGCGTTTCCGGAATGTTGGAAACGAGGAGTATACTAATTTTTACCTGTGCAGTACATTTCGATTGCCATTTCGAATATAGTATAAATTGGGGTTCGTGCACCATATTGTTTGGGTTTTATCTTAATTTGGTCTTATTTCAGACAATCAACGCATATGTCCTTCAACCTATTGAAGACATTGAATGCTAAGTTATGATATGGGGAAATTCATCAACAATTCACTGCAAATGATAATACAGCACATTATGACACGGATGTGGTGGTTCATCAACGAGGAATTGAACCATGAGATGAGGTTATTATTACACTAATAAAAGTTCTAATTAGACAGCATTGGAGACTAATAAGATTTTGGCGACTTCGTGACTATACTTGCAGGAATTAGCGTCAATGGTTGGTAAACATAAACAGTTGATATTGATGGCCGTGCATTTCGTAAAAGCATCAATGGGGTATCGAATATATTGAGGTAAGTGCAAATTTATACCAGGTCTACGAGTGGAGGCTGGCAATATCTCGATAGTTGTCTTGAAGCATTGCATTGCAAATAAATTGCTGCAATCACTACGTTGACGTCATCACGTTCTAACGTATGAAGTATCAAGAAACAATTCGAAAACTGCCCGGTTTCAATTGTTATTAAAGCTGCACAAGGGGCATAATGTGGTATCATACTTAAGCATCGATCAAAACCATGAGGTGTTTTGAACGCCCAGGCACCGCGCGTTTTTGTCCGAGACGTCCCCAAAGGGTAAGCCATCGTTAATATACACAATTCTCGTTTAACAGGGAGACATCATGAAATATGGCTAGACATTCGTAAGGAAGGGTAAGGGCTAGGAAGCCATTGTGTATAATAACCACCGAGTGGAGGCATGTTTATGATCAGCATCGAAATAGTCGCTTTAGCTATGGATCTCTAGATTTTACATTATATAACTAATGGTTGGCCACGCTGCTGTTTAGGGTTGAAACATAAATAATGCAAATAGATGAAGACACTTAAAACTGAAATAACATATCACCAAAAGATTAATCCAGGCTGGAGAAGGGAAGAGTAGCACCGATGCTCGCAAAATGTCAACACGGAGCAGACTGAGGCTTGGGCGGGTATAGCGCGCCGAGCGAGGCTTGTAAAAACACACCACGTTTTTGAGGTGGACTATGTTGTAGTATTTGTGGAGATAAGAGTAGTATAGTATTGTGATTACGGCGTTGAAGAAATAGGCCCATGGAAATACCTGCTGGACTTTTATCAGGTCCGTAAGGGGCTTGGCATCTCAAGACTGCAAGGTGTAAGCTGATCTGACGAACACCCTAGTGCGACATCCCACATTACAAGGACGCTTCACACTCGCTTACAGTGACTACAACTTCACTTCCATATCGTCGTCACGTGCTTGAGGTCTAAAAACACATAAACAAAACCAGGCACCGCGCACGTGTGGGGTCCCAGGCACCGCGCACGTGGGGGTCCCAGGCACCGCGCACGTGGGGGTCCCAGGCACCGCGCACGTGGGGGGCCCAGACTCCGCGCACGTGGGGGTCCCAGACTCTGCGCACGTGGGGGTCCCAGACCCCGCGCACGTGGGGGTCACAGGCACCGCGCCCGTGGAGGTCCCAGGCACCGCGCACGTGTGGGGTCCCAGGCACCGCGCCCGTGGGGGTCCCAGACTCCGCGCACGTGGGTGTCCCAGACCCCGTGCACGTGGGTGTCCCAAACTCCGAGCACGTGGGAGTCCCAGGCACCGCGCACGTGGGGGTCCCAGGCACCGCGCACGTGGGGGTCCCAGAGCCCGCGCACGTGGGGTCCCAGACCCCGTGCACGTGGGGGTCCCAGACCCCGCGCCCGTAAGGGACAATAAAATAAAGAGATAAAGGCAGCGATTGTATTGTTCAGTACACTCTACCTGCTAGTACACTCAGGCAACGAAGTGGCAAAAACTTCCTACGTGCACTTCTGTTGGTACAAGTTTGGGTAAATGTAATACTTTAAGATCCTTCTGAAGCTCATAAATCCTTCAATGATCTTAAATTCATCTTAAGAAATTGCAGTCAAATTCATGACGCGGCCACCAAAAGTGGTTACAGTTCAGAGTACCAGGATTGGCGCAGAGAGGCGCGGGTTCGATCCCAGCTCTGTGCGCCAGTTTCTGGTCAGAATCGGCGAGGAGGCCGGGCGGTTAAGCACAGCAGAATTGTAGCAGTGAGTTGCGAGTTCAAGACCGCAACAAGCTGTGAATATTCTTCCACGTTAGGAATCGGCGACAGGCCTATGGCCTAATAAACGCTGAAACTACTATTATTATTTATTATTATTAAATTCATCATTAGAAATTGCAGTCAAATTCAAGACACGGACATCACAAGCTGAATTCCACAGCCAATTCTGCAGTCAGTTCTCCAATTAAGTTAAGGAATAAGAACAAATTATAAAGCACCTAATGAAGCAGGTAAAAAATGAGCAGCTTTAAATACAAAATAGTACAATAATAAACACATTACATTAGCATTTTATTCTTTACTTGACAAAGTATGTTTACAATATTACTATATTTTATAGCATTATTTACTGCTCGGCAATGTAACATTTTATTATACATTCTTCTAAATGTCTCCTGGACAAATCTAATTAGATAAATATTTTCGGAGACTAAGATAATTTCTCCTAATTATGTTTGAAGTTTAATCCTATTAGCATAGTAATAGGTTGATGAGACAGATTGAAAGTTCTAAGTAAAATAATGTTTGAAGTAACTAGATAATTACTTTTATGACTATTGAGCAAAATTTCATATTTTTGAAGACAGCTGCTACAGGCACTGCAGATCTTCCCGGAAAATACATAAAACAAAAGAAATTGGCATCTTAGAATAAATTGTAGAAGTTGGACCAATGAAGAGCAGGTCATTTGTACAGACAAAACTAACCACACAAAGAAATAATGGGGTCTAGGTAAGTTGGAACGTCCTCATATTGACTTGCTTAGCCCATACCTTCTATGTCATCTTCACAGATGCAAGAAATTAGAATTTGCTGTAAGCAATCAATGCCGCTTAACTGCTGTTGTAAATTTATAAAGATCTCAGGAACAGACCGCATTGCTTAAGGAAGAACAGCAGAAAGCTACTGAGCAGTCACAATTATCACAGGAGCCTCCTGCTCAAGAATTAGAGTTCACCTATCCAAAGCAGTGATAATATAGTAGAAAATAGGCGCTGCTTCCATGCACTTGTAATCAATGTAAAAGTGTTGAAGGAATTCCACAAACTTCTCCTTTCAGGAAAATAATGGATAAAGTAAACGAATTGTTTCCATAATGGAATAATAATAATATAGCAGTTTGAGCATTTATTAGGCCATAGGCCTGTTGCCGATTCTTAACAGCGGAGAACAATCACAGGTTGTTGCGGTCTCAAACACGCAACTCACTGGTCCAATTCTGGTACTTTAAACTTTAACCTCTAGGCCACTCTGCCCCTAACTTCAAGAGGTCTTACTGGAAACTTCAATTCAAACAAATTGAGGCTGAGCCATATCTGAAAATGGCGTTAATTGATATAAAAACAAAACAAGATTTAATAAAATTAAAGAAAGACTTAAGAAAACAATTCACAAAAGAAGAAAAAATCTTACCTTGATGAGTAAATAAATCTAAGGTTTTAGTAACTTAAGTTCTAATTCTATCTTACACCCAAAATTTACATTTGCAAATTTATGACATCACAAATTTCAGTTATATTCAAGCTGGTCAATACTATTTTAAATCTAGCAATTCGAACTAAGTAGCATCAATATTGAGGCTACTCAAATACAAGTTTATCACTGGAAAGGCTGTTCCACTACCACACGTTTATTCACCCAAACAAAAATTGGATATAACAAAAGTAAGAGCAGTAAAATTCATGTGCATTACACACATTACGTTATCTGAAAATTTCTAATATGAAAATTAAAGCACCAAATGAGAGAACAGACCAGATTACAAAGTATTAAGACCTCCTTGATTTCTTCAACTGGAAAGTGCATGGCTTGTCTCATTCAAACTTGACGGACACATTAACTAAACTCAATATGGTATCCTTTATAATTTCAAGCAGCTACCCATGCACATAAACTGAATTTTGACAAACCCTCTTTAAGGGGAGCGTCTAGGGTAAAATTTATCTCGGCTATTTACAAACGGATCACTCTGAAACTTGGTACACATATGTAAAACAGAAATCTAAGACTTTTTGTGAAATCTTCTCATTTTTGTGGGTGTGGGAGCATTTTTCGTAAATTTTTTGAAAATCTATCGATTTACCCCCCGCCACCCACCCTTTTTGCAGAATAAAATCCAAACTATAACGAAATTAGAAAAATGCCTGTGTTCAATTGTAGATAATTTTGTTGCGCATCGAATGGTATATGTCTCATTGTTGTAGCTTCAAAACTCTAGGAGGAGATAGGTTTGCAAGTCAGAAAAACGTAGGTTTTCAGGAGAGCTAAAAAACTGAAAATTTTTACAAAAATTTCAAAAACTGCGTTAAAAATATATTGATATTACAAAAACGCATACATCATTCACTAGATCTTTTTCTTGCGCATCCAATGGTATAAGTTTCATTGCTGTAGCTTGAAAACTCTGGGAGGAAATTGTATTTCGAAAAAAGGAAAGAAAAAATATAAAATATTAACTCCTATCTAATTAGTTAAAGAACTCCCCCACCCTCCCCCCTTTCATGATCTGTCCTGAACGCATAAATCAACATACAGAGATGGTAATGGTGCTGTTGGATAGGGCAGAATGTCAGCTTTAAGATGAGACTAAACGGGTAACTAAGCTGCACCTCAAGCAGACACTGTATTTAATGTGGTGGGAACCGAATTACCTCATATCTAATTTGTTAAAGAACTCCCCCACCCTCCCCCCTTTCATGATCTGTCCTGAATGCATAAATCAACGTACACAGATGATTTTGGTACCGTTGGATAGAGCAGAATGTCAGCTTCAAAACGAGCTCAAAAACGAAAAAAGCAAAAATTTTCGATTTTACCCTAGACGCTCCCCTTAACAAAATTTAGATTGGATTGTTGGAAGACACAGCAGCACAAATTGCAGTAATAGATCTTTCTTCATCCGAAACATGGTTGGATTCCAGGTGCCTCTTCAGATTCCATTTCTTACCAGTGACATAATCACAGAACTCACATCGGAATCCTTTCCCTAAACCATGTTTAGAAAACAAGTGAGTTTGGAGACTGGGTTGTTCATTCGTGACATAGTCACATAGATCACATTTCACACTGTTTCCTAAACCATGTTTAGAAAACATGTGTTTTTTGAGACGTTCTTGTTTGGCGGTTTCATAGTCACACAACTTGCATTTGAATCCTTCTCCTAAACCATGTTTAGAAAACATGTGTTTTTTGAGAACTTCTTGTCTACCGATTTCATAATCACACAACTTGCATTTTAATGCTCCCCCTAAACCATGTTTAGAAAACATGTGTTTTTTGAGACGTTCTTGTCTGGCGGTTTCGTAATCACACAACTTGCATTTGAATCCTTCCCCTAAGCCATGTTTAGAAAACATGTGTTCTTTGAGAAGTTCATGTCTGCCGTTTTCATAATCACACAACTTGCATTTGAATCCTTTTCCTAAACCGTGTTTAGAAAACATGTGTTCTTTGAGAAGTTCTTGTCTGCCTGTTTCATGATCACACAACTTGCATTTGAATCCTTCCCCCAAACCGTGTTTAGAAAACAAATGCCCTCGGAGATATTTTCTTTCAGATGCAACGTAATCACATAATCCACATTTTAATTTAGTTTCAAAATTATGTTCGTAAATTTGGTGGGCATTTGGAGGAACTTTGGAATGTAATGAATCAGTGGATGGTGGATGAGGAAACATCGTGCAATTTCCTTGTTAATCTTGCATGGTCATTGTTGGTCAAGTTGTGTTCCAAAGACTTGAACTCAGATGCGGGCTGATCAAAAAGAACTTCTTGGACTGCACCTGCACTATTGGGTCCCCAAAAAATATTTTTCTCAGAAGCAGACATCTCTTTTGCCTTGGTTTCATGATAAACACTCATCCATTTATCCTGCCCAATGTTGCCCTGGGCATTGCACGGGCTATCCTGAGGAAAGAAAACATATTCTTGTATGTGATTTTTTCATATAAGGCAATGAAAATAAAATTGATGCAGTGTTCAAATAAATTCTAGATTTATATAATCATTATTATCTTTTGCATGCAAAATGTGGGGGGCAAAATTTATGAAAAAGTAGAAATTAAATTAACTTATATTAATACAATCAATAAAATTAATTATATTCAAAATGAATGGAAAATTATCTTGGCAATGGAAATATGATGGTAATTAGAGTATGGAACTTCCATCAATACAAGCACATTAAAAAGTCTCATTTTGTTTCTGATGCTCATTCTGGGTGTGTGATCCAAGGATTATATACAGATTTTTTTGTGAAAAAAGAACTCAGATAAAATGCACTAAACAACATTTTCATAAAAATGTGCATTCATGTGAATTTTCAATAGACCTTCAGCCCCAATATCAAAACCAAGAAGAACAAAACAGAAAGAAATAAGATACACATGAAGGGAACGTCATTGCAACACACGTAGCTGGGTTCTAGTCTTTTTGCTGCAAAAGTCTTTATCATTTCCAGCAAACGATAGAATATTTGTGACATGGCAGCTGATCAGCTAGCACCAACATTTGAATTCATCAGCAGTTCATTTGTACCCAGAAACCAGCTCTACCAACCTGCTTATGAGGCTCTGCAGCAGTGTACTGTGAGGCGCTGGTGCAGGCCTCGTGAGCCTCAACTTGAATCTCTTT